TTCCAATTTATTATGAACTTCACGGGTACCAGCTCTATAAGAAACATATCATACATATGTATAATGCAGTAAACTTTTTTTTTGCAATACATGCATGCAGTGGTGGTCATATAAAAAGGCACAAGTTTTAACAATTAATGTTTTCTTTATTTATTTTTTTACACTTGTTTGAAATAAAGAAAAATTAACTATCAAGAAAATTGGTTTAAGCTACAAACCAAGACGCCCTTGGATAAGTTCGTTTCGTCATAGAAACATGTTCTGCGCAAAATTTTCAAAATCTGATAACAGAAGGACGTGCTTCAGAGGCCTAAAAGTGGCCTACATTCATTAACTAAAAGACTTTCAAATCTCACAAAATTATATGATTGAGCAAATGACGCTGAATTAATCCGCTAGTTGGCGTAGGAGTCGAGATACATACTTGAAATCCCCGTTCGTTCATATTTGAAATGTATGTACTACATATATGACTTACATATCTGTGGACATTTGACAAAACAACCCAAGGCGAATTAATATAAGGTGATAGCAGGAGTACAAAAACAAAAATTTACATGTATTTTGTTTTTGCTTTGGCGGCATAAACTGTCAAAATCTGTAAGAGTGTGTGTAGAAATTCAAACAAAATTTTTCAATTTGATATCAGAAGCCGTGCGGCGAAACACATACACAAAATCAGCTGAGCTAGTAACACCACCTTATATAAATTCGCCTTGCNATGGCCTCCACGGCGAAAAACTCAGCTGTCGCCCCAACACCACCTTGTTTAATACACCTTGACGAAAACTTTCAATTTTATATCAGAAGCCGTGCGGCGAAACACATACACAAAATCAGTATGTCAGTAGTAACACTACCTTATATAAATTCGCCTTGAAACAACCTCTTTCAAAATTACAAATTTTTCAGGAGAGCGAAAAACATATTAAATGCTTTCCACAACATAAGTTTCTTACAATGAAGAAAAAAAGTGCTAGTTAAAACTGGAAACATATCAATAAACAAGCACTTTTCAATATTTTTTTTTTTTTATTTAAATGGCATACTTATTTAAATGAATAGTAAATATGTATATAAATAAGACCTTTTGTCAAATTCTTTTTCAAACAAAAAATCATCTTATCCCATTACAAGTTGTTTTGTCAAATTGAGTTTGAGTGAAATAGTAAATGGTTTTTTGCCTTTACAAAAAAAAAAAATACAAAAAAAATAGCCGGTATATCTATATTACTTACATGATATATATATATATATATATATTACTTACTGCCGCTCTATTCTAGTGTATCAGTAGTCCATTTGGCTCGGTATTATGACACTGCAGCAAAAGATATTAAATATAAAAAAATCGCCTTTCCATACGATTTTTGTGTACGTGTTTTTCCATTGATAACTACGATATCTTTTATATTTTATATTTTGAGGACAAAAATTATACAAATCCAGCAATTTTAAATATTAATATCGTTCTGAAAACTCCAAGTTCTTTAAAAATCGCTATAAAATGAAATACTAAAATGGAGTATTTTAAATAAAATTTCCCAACTAATAGCATTATAAAAATTAAGATCGGCAGCACTGAAAATAAGCATGCCGATCTTGTCAAAATTACAACAAACACGTCGCTACTGACAACACCTTGTTATTCTAATTTCAATTTTTTACATGGCACACTTTGATTTAAAAGAAAAATCAGAACAGTTTTTGACATTTTAGATACCAGAAGCAACAGCAAAATACACGTAAATATTGTTTTTGCTCGAATGCTACTGCCTATTTCACATACCTTGGTTAGTATATCACTCAATTACTAAAAGACTACCATAAGTCAAAAACGAAATTTATGACCAAATGATGCAGAATTACTCGTTACATCGTATGTGTGTATAAATTTTCCACTAAAATCTTTCCGCGTCTTCTGAAAAATTTCGTTTCTCGAGTTGAATGAGCGATATGTATGTACTTGTGCTTTGTACATGCCTAAAAGGCTCTGCACACGGATCGATTTATCGGCCAACCAGTTGGCCAACCGCTAAAAGTCGGTGGTAAATAAGCCGTGTGTAGGCAAGTTGGCAAACCTTCGTCAAGTTGTTCGTCAGGTTGGAGTAAAATTTTTGAGTTTTTGAGGCAGACTGGTCAACTTGTTGCTCTCTGTGTAGACTAGTTGGCAACCTAAAATGCGATTTAATTTTTTTCTTAAAGCCACATTAACGTTAACATGTGTTTTTCGGTTCGTTTCGCTAGTGAAAATGCGTATAATTTGTGAAAACGGGGGCGGTAGCAATAACAAATACATAAAAATGAGAGGCATTCCTAGCATAGCTTAAAAGTTTGCCAGTGCTGTTGTATTGTGTACAGTTCGAAAACTCTCACTCAAATGAAATCGGCCAACTGGTTGGTTCGTTTGTTGGGAATTCCGTTAAGTAGGTTGGTCAACTGGTAAATCAATGCGAGTGTAGGGCCTTTAAGTGTGCATGTATGAATTTTATACGTATTTGTTTATGTATGTATGTATGTGTGGGTATATTTTCGCATGTACATAATGTATGTTTATTAAAAATACAGACCATGCATGAACGCGTATCTATCTATGTATATCGTCGTTTAAAGTACAAAAACGCGTAACTGACATTGGCAGCCAAAAATAGGATTTGCTCACATGAGCCACTAGCCAGTAGTGCTATTGCTTTATAAAAAAAGAGTACAATTTTGAAATATGAGTGTTCTTACTCTCTGGAAAATAATTTATGCAACCTCACATATGCAGTTTTGCATTTTGTTGATACGCGGTTTTGTACTTTAAAGGACGATATATATGTTACATACATACCCATTGCTATTGGAACTGATGGTTCGTCTCCGACCGCTGCCGCCGATCGTGGGTGTCACGTGCATTATTTGCGAACCCACTGCTGCATGTTGCGCTGACATCAACTGTAAGTAATGACTACCGGTCGAGTTCTGTCGTGACGGTGAATGGTCACCCCCAATGCAATGCATTGCGTTTCTGTCCTCAACGATCATTTCTCCATGGTCTCCATTGTTTAAAAGTGGTTGGTTTGCTGGAATTTTATGAGAAAGTGAAAAACTGCGAATGCGCGTGTGCGTGTCATCAACTTTTCTACTCGCGACGGGTGGTGGGGTAAGAGGCTCGGTAGACTTATAACGTAATGAATGCGGGGCGGAAGTGCTGTTGACCAGCAAAAGTTTTGACGCTACCGAGTGATGCTGCTGCGTCTGTTTGGGTATGCTAATCGCTTTGGACGACGCATCCCCCAATGTTGCCGCCGGCGATGCAACACGCAGCCCATCATTCAGCAACATTTGCTTGTTAGCAGCAGCGGTCACAACAACAATCTCGCCACCGCTTTCCACAAGTCTATACGTTTTCGATTTATTACAGGGACCACTGTTCCCTTTACTATGCTCATCTTGTATTTGTTGTAGGAGTAATTGTTCTTGGTGTTCCTGCACTTTATTAGATTTTGAGGAAAATGTATCCTCTATAAGAAATCGAAAAGAAAAAATACAAATATAAAACAAAATCATATACATACATAATATGTAAATTAAGAATTAGAATAGTTATTTAATTTTGGATAATAAAAAGGTATTCGATCTGTTGTTATTCACTTCAATAGCCGTAGTGGCTTTAACGCAAAGAAAGGACTATGTAGATTGATCCCACAAAAGCTCTTTATTTTAATTTCGATTTTATTTTTTCCCTATTCAATATTAGTGTGTGATCTCCACAATTTGACTGATTTCACATGAAGAAATGCTTTTAAAATATTTTATATTTCTTTTCAGCCTAAAAAATTTTGAATTTGAAAACATGTACACGAATAGTCAATACGGGGTACCCGGATACCCACATACAAAATTGGCGGAAAGATATATCCATAAATAAAAATATTTTATATTTGTTTTCAACCTAGAATTTTTTTTGATTTGAAAAATTGTACATGAATAGTAAATAAGATATAACAAATAATAACGCTTTTTAATTGTCGTTAGATTGAGCTTATTTAAATAATAACAAACATGATATTTAGTTTACTGAAATAACAAAAACATATTTTTATTACTTTTTAGGCAATGAAAATAAAAAAATTATGAATTATTAAAAATTGCACATTTGCAAACGTGCAAATAAAAATTTAGTCTGTTGTGTATATTCGTAAAGTTATTTTGTTTATAAAAAAAAACTGCACACAACGTTAGAAAAAATATGTACAAAAATATTCTAAAAACACACAAAATTTTCCGAGCGGCTCTCTTATGACGATTGCTCCACGTAAACGATCGATACTAAAGTAAACTGGTATATGAATATAATACATATTTGTTTCAAAAGTGTTCTAGTAAACTCTTCGGCTATATGATGGTATAGAGACTAGGGATGTTAATTTTTCGGCTTTTTCCGATCCCGGGCTTTTCGAGATGGCGTTGTCGCAATGCCGGTATCCCGGGATTAGTCCCAGGATTTAGATATTCATTACTTTTCAACCACTTGAATCGACAAAATTGCTTCTATATTGTTTGAAAAGCTCTCCTACCATGAAATAAATAATAAACTCATGGGTTTGAAACCTACTTTTTTATTTAAAGAGGCGTTTTTATTTTTTCTCTCTGACCGCAGGATTTATTTTGAAGGACATTGTAATTTCAAAGATATGATAATTCCAAAAATTATTAAACAAATTCAATGCAATGTAGAGTAAAAATATGTGTAACAAATGTAATAGGAAATTTCCTTAGGATTTAAAAAATTTAAATTTTTTGGATTCACAAGGACGAATAGGTAATTTTTAAGCTGACAAAGTTTAAAGAACGGGATTCACCTAAATTGCAAACTTTTTAATTAGACTCTAAAAAAATTAATTTTAGTACAACAAAGTGCAAGATTGAAGTTGCTTAAAATTGCATTGAGTTTTGGCAATTTTTGCCTTGACAGTGTAAAGCGGTTCCTTCCATATCAAGATATTTTTCGAACATAAATTTATTTGCAACCTTGCGGAGTGCTGACAGCGTTTCATTTTATCACATCACTGCATACCCAAAAAATTTCGAAAAATTCTGGTTAAAAAGTTTGAAATTTCGATAAAAATTTGTGGAATTTTTCTAAGTTGTGTATAAAATTTAAAAGTGTGATTTATATAGGTTTTGTTAAAGCATGACCATATTTTTATAAAAAAAAATATCAAAAAAATTTTAGCTTGAAAAATGTTGTAAATATTAAAAACGAAACACCATTCATCACAGTTAGGCAAATGGGTGTTTTTTTTTAATAAAATGTAAACCGAAAATGCAAGTAAATGAGTTCAACCGACTTTGTAACTTTGCATTTCGTATTCAGATGGCGAAAAAAGTTTATAAAAGCGCGAAACGGTGTAGAGAAGAACTGAAAAAAATTAAGTAAAAAATTAAATTATATATGTATTACTAGTAAAAATATTATATGGCGGAAAAATTTGTCCGATATGTCACGCCCGTTATCCCATTTTAATTCAAAATAAAAGCAACAACGAATTTCTTCTCATTGAAAACGAATTGGTTCTAATGGTCCGTAATTTGACTTTATTGAAAGAATGTTTAAGAAAAACCTCACAGGATTCGCAGTTTTGCTTATTTTTACATGCCTCACTGAAACCAATTCTGTTTTTGTCACGTCCGTTATGACCTCCTTTTCATCGATTTTCCCGACACCAGTGCTCGAAGCGCACGTAATTTTTTTGTCAACCAAAGGACGGTACAAAACCAACAAAATGGCAAATTTTTTTATATGTGACTTCCGTTTTCGTATGAATGTCACGCCCGTCATCATGGAAACACCCATATGTATGTGCATTATGATGGGCTAAATCTACACAGGAAAATACTTTTTTTTCTTTTCATGCTGCCCAAACCTGAGGAATATCGTAAATAACGAGACCCGTATTTTTTATTTGAAATCGGTTAATATTTAACGTACGCCGCACAGTGTATTATTCCCATGTTCTAGAAAATATTAATTAAATTATTTTATATCGCTAAATTTCAAAACAACGTCAAAAATGTTTTTAGAATTGCCTGATAAAGACGAAACAATAACAACTAGAAAAAGGAAATCAAAGTGTATGGCGGGACGGGATTTTATTTGGAAGACTACCAAGCGCAATAATATTTTAACTTGTATATTAGAAACTGAAATTCAATGTTTAAGTTGTTGGTGTTTTGTGATTTATGCAGCAGTTGTTAAAATACGATTTGGTCATATTTTTTTTAGATATGTTCTCTTTAATGACTTTGGGATTTTAGTAAACTAGGACCGAATTTTTCATGCTAAAGTAAAACGGTGTTAACTTAAATTTAATTTTAGCTATTTATTCATTTCGTTAGACCCGCAAACTCGTTATCCGCGATTATCCAATAAAGTTCGTATCTCAGTTTATTTGCCACTCCTATTAGACTTTACACAACACAAAGTTGGTTTTGATGAAATTTTCTTTTTTCATGCCCACTAGGAATTTTATTTTCTTGATGTCTACCGAGACAAATATCTGTTTTTGTTCGCTTTTGAACAGAGAAAGCATGGTTCATTACCTTTCCAATGGTACCTCATTTATGTAAATATGTAGAGCAATAAATACTTCTGCGCCAAAAATTGTTTGCTCTCTACATTTTTCATATCGGGTTTATTATCTAAATAACCCCTGGATTACAGTGGGGTCCCAACGAAATTCTTTATCCTAGATTATGTA